GCTTTTACTAAATAGAAGGGCCGCGCTGGCCGATATTGACCATGATTTGTTGTATTGCATCTTCAAGTGTGTTGTTTCAGGGGAAATTTTGAAACGTGTCCTATTCGAATTATTATTCGGATTTCAGGGTTTCAGATATTCAGTAAAGATTGATGACATTATGATGAAAGAAGATGTGTAACAGATGCGATAATTAAAAACTGATTTTCGTACCTTAGTTCCTGCCATCTTCCCCTCACAATCACGTGCCACTGTAACGTCACCCGAATGAGATGTGACGCTAAATGGGACCGAAGGATGAGCCTTGCGGTACGACTGATACTTCTCCTCATGTAGAACTTCCTATTTCAAAGATGGGAGGACCAGCAATTGAGTAAACCATGGGCCTAATGAATGGGGAAATTTATCGCGTTCTCATGGAAATTTGTCTTTAAAACCTTTGGGGATTTTCCGGGATTCACTAAACCACACTATTTCACAATCATTATCACGATCCCATTCAACTTTATTTCCATGGTATTCAAAACCATCGATTGATCAAAATTGGGAGCTCACCTAACTTTTCTCAGATAGCATTTCGGAAAAACCCATAGGCCGCTGATGGATGATTCTTCATTGCATTTCATTTCATTTTATTTCAACCCGGATCACTTTCTTCAGCCAACGGCTGTTCTTCCGCTAATCCGTGCATACATGAAAAATAACATACAAATATGTACCATACAGAATAAGACGCAATTCAAATTAAACAATTACAACAGTAAAATAAAAGCGGATTTAAAATCAATTGAATAAAATACAATGAAAATAAATGTAACGAGCCTAATAATTACCATCACATAATGATTCATGAAAACAAATACGAAATGAAATGTAGTGAAATAAAGTAAAAGTAAAGTTAAAATTTGGAATTGAAAATTAAATATAAAAAAATGATATATATTAAAATTTAAAAAACTAAAACCTCATGATGCAATAGATCGAGAAAAAAAACAAGCGAATTACCAAACTGGTAAACATTAATTATAACTATATTGAATAGGCAGCTAGTGTGATTGCGCAGCATATTGCACAAATTGCGAACAAAAGGCATAACAGAGAGAGAGGGAGATAGAGAGAGAAAAAAAGAGAAAGAGAGAGAAAGAGAGAGAAAGAGAGAAAGAGTGAGAGAGAGAAAGAGAGAGATGTGAGAGAGAGAGAGAGAGAGAGAGAGAGAGAAAAGAGAGAGAGAGAGAGAGAGAGAGATGGAGAAAAGGAGCCAATACAATAATATATACTTTGAGGACATTAGAATGTCTTTCCGTACTTCATACTGGTATTATCCGAGAAAATTCAGCTTGTTACCAGCATTGTATAGGCTTTTGAATACAGGCCATGTTCGGAGTAATTTTGAATCAAAGTACGTCTCAAGATATTTGTAATGGCGTACAGCAATTTTAATCACACATTCAAGAAAATCCCATGAAATCTGGTGTAAGCAAGCTTGGACATAATTACCCCAGGAAGTCGGATTTTATTTTTACTTTATGAACTTCCAGAAATTTGCAGTAGTTGACAGTTTTAAAAGAATTGTATTTTAACAATTTACTAATATAACACGTTAACGGTACTAACCGCAACCATGCCAGGAACATCGGCATGCACATAAAGATGAACTTGAATCTCTTTGCCTTTCTCTACGATATCTGGGATGTATGGAGTGCACATAAGTTGGTGTCGGATCACCTGCTGTTCAAGAGGAATAAGAACCCACCACTCAGCACAGTGACCAATGCACAGCTCAAGATGTGTCTTGTACACTCTGCAGTATGGTGGTTTGTCTGGAGAGCTGGATGATCTCATTCTTGATGTCCTTGGTAGATCTATTGCCAGTGGGTAACAAAATAAAATGCGTTTGTTTTTAGATATGTTATCCCGCAATGGAGCCAATTGGTCCTTTAAACTGTTGCACCTGATTATGGTAACACCAACGATTTTTATATCAGTGATGGTGTTCTTGTGGAGTATTATTACTTCAAAAGGTTTTAAGTTTAATAAACCATCCTTACAAGTACCAACTATTCCCTTTACCTAGTTTCCCTTTATTGAAAATGGGAATTATAAATTGTTCCTCACGACGTTATGGCGCTGTAATGGCGACGATACCTAGAACTGAGATTACTTAGAAAGCGTTCTATGTCCACATCAATCAGAAATCAGGATTTAAGAGTCAAGCTTTAGTATGCATATGATCTTTTTTGTTTTCTATCACCTGTAATGGAAAGTTAGAACAAAACAGGGCATAGTATACTGAGAGTTAATTGTTTATTTTAACCGACTACTAGGAAAGCAGTATACTCGTTAACAAAGAACAAGGAGACAAACATCTTTAAGTCCTCTTAAGTCCACTTGGTAATTCATGACTTACCAAATGGCACTACCACATCGAATTGGTTTTTGAACCGGAGACATACCGGTTACGATACCAATCTCTACCACTTAGCCATATCGCAACTCCTCAGTGCTGTCCCGAAGGTGCTTTGCCTGGTTCGCTGGAAAGGGATCTCAGGGCATCAATTTTCGTTAAATCCAATATTAAAAAAAACGGACTTACCGTTTACTGAATCCCATACATGGGACACGATATATGGTTTCACTTTATCAGGGTTGATGGCCAAGGTACAGTGTGGTATCCTTATCTTAACAGGTTGGTGGAAGATCGTGTCTGGAGGATCACATCTGATCCCGTAGCAGGCCATTGATTCATCATCTTGGATGTCGACACTGGGAGGGTCTCTTAAGAGGGTCAGCGTGATCTTGCACGGATCATTCTGATGAACAGCCCCCGGAGGAATAAACAGAGAAACGCCATGGTCTTCTAGTTCAATTTCCGTACTTGTGTTCCTTTCGACTTCAACAGAGACAGTGGCAGGTCTTGATGGTTCAGCTGTTGTTTATTTAAAACATAAGGAAATGGCACGACAGTAAATATATATATAAACAACACAGTAAATTCATACGCACATCAGGATAATCATTAAAATGAAAAGCCAATAACATATTAATGTAGTTTGCATTTCAATCTTGTCCAGAAAACGAAATGACTTTATTAAGGTTTTTACCCAAACTTTGATGTTCAATACTGGTTTCTGGTTATATGTATCAGTTTTTCCAATTCATCTTCCATTTTGGGCACATTCCCAGTTTATCTCGTATTTAGCCCAATGATGTAAACCTAAGAGGTGGTTCTTCATACGTGAATACGAATGATATTTTAAGGCCCGGTCACACATAGGGGACGCATGGGGGACGCACGGCCCGCGCATTGCAAATCGGAAAAAGGTCGTGCGACCGACTTTTGCCAGGATTTGGGAGAAGCTAGCAAGCTGACACCGAATAGTGCGCTGCGCGTATATAGGGCGTGTGCTCGGCGGATGTCGGGCGTTGGTCTAGCGCGCTCTGCGCATGTCTGGCGTCTTTTTGGCGTTTACATTCATGCGTCGAGCTCCGCCGCACACAGCGAATGACGCACGGCCCGCGCATTGAAAATTTGCAATTTTTGCCAGGGCGTTGTCGCGCGTTAGGTGTGCGTCATCCTCCGTTACTCGCTGGACCAACGCTATGCATTCGTCGTCGTTCGCTGTGTGCGTCGGAAGTTTTTGTGCATGCTCAAAAGTGTGCGGGGAGCTCGACGCATGAATGTAAACGTCAAAAGGACGCCAGACCCGCGCAGAGCGCGCTAGACCAACGCCAGACATACGTGGAGCTCACGCCCTGTATACGCGCTGCGCACTAGCAACACGCTAAACAATCGGTGTCAGCTCGCTAGCTTCTCCCAAATCCTGCCAAAAGTCGAGCGCACGACCTCTTCCAATGTTCAATGCGCTGGCCGTGCGCCGTCTATGTGTGACCGGGCCTTAGTGATAAGTGGGTACATTTTGTGTGCGATTAAGTAAAATACCCGGACAATGAATTATAAAATCCCTTGTTCTGAGTGATTTAAAACCTAAACGCTAGGTTTAACCATCGCTAGACATTAATATGTGACTTAGTGGATAAGGAAAAAGATATCCGAATCTCTTAATTAGCTCTTATACTGTGAAAAGCTTTTTGTGTTTGAAAATGTTCTTACCTCGATACGACTGGATCTCCTCTAAAGAAGTTAATCTGAAATTAATCATACGTAAACAAAAAAGACTAATTTCTATGGGTTGTGAAAACATGTATTTGTTTCCACTCGTTAAAAAACGGTATACAAGATATTAGGAAAAATCGAACAACTGTTGAATGTCAGACATTTATCGAGGCCTATCATTTGATAAAAAAAGATGCTCAAATCTTAGCATTAGACATGAAAAGAATAAAATAGTATGCTACATACCTTTGCACCTGGTCATGCCGTAAAATACATTTGAAACAAAATTAAAACAATTCAAGAACCACAGTTAGATATAATATCTTCCAAACGCATTTGGAAGAAAATGTAAACTGCCTATCTGAGTAGAAAAACCAAGAAAAATAACTGATGATGACCTAGTAGGCCTGACTTATAGGCCGGAACATATTAACTGTCACTGTTATGAAACGGTAAGCACACGGTATTCAACAACTGTGTTGAATACCGGCTGATTGGACATCCTTAAATGAATAGTTAGATACCTTAAAATCAACGGCTATAACTGTGAGCAAACTGCTGTGTTAGTGAGCAAAACTGCTGACGGATGAAAAACATGGTGGTTTCCAGATCTTCTTTCCTTACTGTTTTCCCGAAGTCCTTAAATTAAATCAAGAACGTGTCATTCTATGACAGACACAGTTGTCACATAGTGTACAATGTTATTGTCCGAACATCACATACACTATATATCCAACAATTAAGATTTACATTAAAGCTAAGTGGACTTTCTGTTTCAGGAGAAAAAAATATCCCGTTACCAATTCACAGGAGCAAATAGAAATACGGATTATTCCCTTGTGTTTTGATAAATCTCTTGTCTTACAAGTTATTAGACCTTAAAGAATCACCTAGACAAAATCATTTGCTTGATCTCTTCATCCTTGGCATACTGGATTGGTAGGTTGCCTGTTTTGTCCTTCACATCTAACTTGGCTCCATTCTCCAGGAGATAAAACACCAAGGCCTTCTCAGGAGATAATTCGCCATTGTAATACTCATCAGAGATCTAAAACATACAAACATATATAAATTTTATTTTATTTAGAGCAATATCGCACATCAATAGTCATGGTGGATGAGCACCATAAGCATATGTTATCGCTATCTCTTGGATTCACAGTAGTGGAAATCACGTTGTTAATTTCCCCCTCACACACATACACGAGCCCATACTCTTACATACACATTTTCTTGGACCATTCACGGCTAGCAGATTCTAGGATTCACTAATGATCTAGATGAGCAGTACATGGCAGTGACACCGCCATAACGACTCCGCGTAGACTCCAAAGCTGACCACAATTTGGCCGTTTGGGGAAATCGAATTTGTTGTTCAGACTCTCGTTGGTCTGGTGTCGGTCTCGTTAGTGTTACTGAGGTGCAACTCACGTATTTAGTGTATCCGTGCCTTGGATAATCTCCTCGCTCTTATTGCAGAGTTTAATGGCTTTATGGAGAGACGTCTGACCGTCAGTTGACTGGATATTGAGATCTGCTCCCTCAGAAACCAACTTCTCAATGATGGAGGTATGACCGTGTTGTATGGCAAGATGAATATCCGTTAAATCATTCTGGTCGAGCTGGATATCAGAAAATACACAGCATAAGAACTTGATGATTAATATTTATCTAAGCTAGTAAAGCCAAATTTCTGTAAACTAAAAGAACTACCAGGTGATTAAGTAAATCCAATGATAAGAGTACGGTAAGCGATCATTGTAACTTTTCTATAAAGTTTATATAACAACATTTAGGTGTAAATGGTATTTTAAAATGTATGATTATTAGTAATGATACAAAGATAGTAAGTCGGACTCCAGCTGGTAAAGTCAGAAGAAAAAACTAATAGGTAGCTTGTTCCATATTTACTGAATTGAATTTCAATAATTTGTATTCACCATGCATGTATATCAATACATTGAGGTGTATAAATTTGACATCAAGGTTTTCATTTGTAATGCATACCTTCGACTTGGAAATGTCGATGAATAAATCAGTGATGTTTTCGAACCCGAGAATGGAAGACAGTTGTAGTGGTGTCTGCCCGCGAATGTCTCGTGTGTCATATAGTGCTCCTCCTGCCAGAAGGTCTTTAACGACATCAATGGAACCATTCTGTACAGCATAGTGTAGAGGTGTCGAGCCATCGTTATCTTCCTTATTCACCTGAGCTCCTAGGCTGATGAGATATTTGGTGACATCAACATGACAATTGTAAGCAGCACTGTGTAGTGCAGTCCAACCGTCATTACTTTCTTTATTCACCTCAGCTCCTTGACCGATGAGATATTTGGTGATATCGAGATGACCATTCTGAGCAGCAACTTGTAATGCAGTCCAAGCCCCATTGTTTCCCTTTCTCACCTCAGCTCCTTGACTGATAAGATATTTGGTGACATCAAGATGACCATTGTAAGCAGCACTGTGTAATGCAGTCCAACCATCATTACCTCCCATATTCACCTCAGCTCCTTTATTGATCAGGTATTCGGTGACATCAAGATGACCATTCTGAGCAGTATGTTGTAATGCAGTCCTACCATCATTCCCTCTCGTATTCACCTCTGCTCCTTGGCTAACGAGATATTCCGTAACATCCAGGTGACCTTCCTCGGCAGCACTGTGTAATGCAATCCTACCATCATTACCTCCCTTAATCGCATCGGCTCCTTCGCTGATCAGAAATTTGGTGACTTCTGGATGATCATTGTTAGCAGCATTAAATAATGCAGTCCAGCCGTCATTGTCTTTCTTATTCATCCCAGCTCCTTGACTGATCAGATATTTGGTGGTATCAAGATGACCATTCTTAGCAGCAAGGTGTAAGGCAGTCCTACCATCATTATCTCCCTTATTAACCTCTGCTCCTTGACTGATGAGATATTTGGTGACATCAAGGTGACCCTGCTGAGCAGTACTGTGTAATGCAACCCTACCGTCAATACCTCCCTCATTCACCGCAGCTCCTTGACTGATGAGATATTTGGTGACATCAAGATGACCCTGCTGAGAAGCATTGTGTAATGCAATCCTACCGTCAATACCTCCCTCATTCACCTCAGCTCCTTGCTTGATGAGATATTTGGTGACATCAAGATGGCCATTATGTGTAGCAAGGTGTAATGCGGTCAAACCTTTATTCTCTCCCTTACCCACCTCTGCTCCTTGGCTAACGAGATATTTGATGACATCAAGATGACCCTCCTGAGCAGCAAGGTGTAATGCAGTCAAACCTTCATTCTCTCCCTTATTCACCTCATCTACTTTACTGATGAGATATTTGGTGATATCAAGATGACCATTCTGGGCAGCAAGGTGTAATGCAGTCCTACCATCATTATCTCCCTTATTAACCTCTGCTCCTTGACTGATGAGATATTTGGTGACATCAAGGTGACCCTGCTGAGCAGTACTGTGTAATGCAATCCTACCGTCAATACCTCCCTCATTCACCGCAGCTCCTTGACTGATGAGATATTTGGTGACATCAAGGTGACCCTGCTGAGAAGCATTGTGTAATGCAATCCTACCGTCAATACCTCCCTCATTCACCTCAGCTCCTTGCTTGATGAGATATTTGGTGACATCAAGATTACCATTCTGGGCAGCAAGGTGTAATGCAGGCAAACCGTCATTCTCTCCCTTATTCACCTCAGATGCTTGACTGATCAGATATTTGCTGACATGAAGTTGACCATTTAAAGCAGCACTTCGTAATGCAGTTCTTCCTTTATTATCTCTCTTATTCACCTCAGCTCCTTGACTGATGAGATATTTGGTTACATCAAGATGACCCTCCTGAGCAGACCAGTGCAAGGCTGTGTAACCATTCGTTCCACTTACGTTTACAGCAGCTCCTTCACTAATCAGATATTTGTTGATATCAAGATGACCCTCCTGAGCAGCAACTTGTAACGCAGTCCTACCATCATTACTACCCTTATTCACCTCAGCTCGTTGGCTGATGAGATATTTGGTGACATCAAGATGACCATTCTGAGCAGCAAGGTGTAATGTAGTCCTACCATCTTTATCTTCCTTATTTACCTCCGCTCCTTGACTGATGAGATATTTGGTGACATCAAGATGACCATTCTGAGCAGCAAGGTGAAATGCAGTCGTATCACCATTATCTCCCTTATTCACCTCCGCTCCTAGAATGTGGAGATATTTGGTGACCTCAAGATGACCATTCTGAGCAGCAAGGTGTAATGCAGTCTTATCGCCATTATCTCCCTTATTCACCTCCGCTCCTAGAATGTGGAGATATTTGGTGACATCAAGATTACCATTCTGAGCAGCAAGGTGTAATGCAGTCTTTTCGCCATTATCTCCCTCATTTACCTCAGCTCCTTGACGGATCAGATATTTGATGACTTTAATATGACCATTCTGGACAGCAATGTGTAATGCAGTCCTACCTCCATTATCTCTCTTATTCACCTCAGCGCTTTGACTGATGAGATATTTGGTGACATTAAGATTACCCTTCTGAGCAGCAAGGTGTAATGCAGTCTTATCGCCATTATCTCCTTCATTTACCCCAGCTCCTTGACTGGTGAGATATTTGGTGACTTCAAGATGGCCATTCTTAGCAGCACTATGTAATGCAGTCATACCGTCATAATCTCCTTTATTCACCTTAGCTCCGTGACTGATCAGATATTCTGTGACTTCAAGATGACCATTCTTAGCAGCACTATGTAATGCAGTCATATGGTCAAGATCTCCTTTATTTACCTTAGCTCCTTGACTGATCAGATATTCTGTGATATCGAGATGACCATTCTGAGCACTACGGTGTAATGCAGTAACACCAACATTATCTCCCTTATTCACCTCCGCTCCTAGAATGTGTAGATATGTGGTGACCTCAAGATGACCATTCTGAGCAGCAAGGTGTAATGCAGTCTTATTGCCATTATCTCCCTTATTCACCTCCGCTCCTAGAATGTGGAGATATTTGGTGACATCAAGATGACCATTCTGAGCAGCAAGGTGTAATGCAGTCTTATCGCCATTATCTCCCTTATTCACCTCCGCTCCGTGACTGATCAGATATGCTGTGATATCGAGATGACCATTCTGAGCACTACGGTGTAATGCAGTAACACCTACATTTTCTCCCTTATTCACCTCCGCTCCTTGAATGTTAAGGTATTCGGTTACATCAAAATGACCATTTTGAGCACTACTGTGTAATGCAGTCGCACCTACATTATCCCCCTTATTAACCTCCGCTCCTAGAATGTGTAGATATGTGGTGACATCAAGATGACCATTCTGAGCAGCAAGGTGTAATGCAGTCCTACCTCCATTATCTCCCTCATTCACCTCCGCTCCTTGATGATGAGATATTTGGTGACATCAAGATGACCATTCTGAGCAGCAAGGTGTAATGCAGTCTTATCGCCATTATCTCCCTTATTTACCTCAGCTCCTTGACTGATCAGGTATTTGATGACATTAATATGACCATTCTGGACAGCAATGTGTAATGCAGTCCTACCTCCATTATCTCTCTTATTCACCTCAGCGCTTTGACTGATGAGATATTTGGTGACATTAAGATTACCCTTCTGAGCAGCAAGGTGTAATGCAGTCTTATCGCCATTATCTCCTTCATTTACCCCAGCTCCTTGACTGGTGAGATATTTGGTGACTTCAAGATGGCCATTCTTAGCAGCACTATGTAATGCAGTCATGCCGTCATTATCCCCCTTATTCACCTCCGCTCCTAGAATGTGTAGATATGTGGTGACCTCAAGATGACCATTCTGAGCAGCAAGGTGTAATGCAGTCTTATCGCCATTATCTCCCTTATTCACCTCCGCTCCTAGAATGTGGAGATTTTTGGTGACATCAAGATGACCATTCTCAGCAGCAAGGTGTAATGCAGTCCTACCTCCATTATCTCCCTCATTCACCTCCGCTCCTTGCATGATGAGATATTTGGTGACATCAAGATGACCATTCTGAGCAGCAAGGTGTAATGCAGTCTTATCGCCATTATCTCCCTTATTCACCTCCGCTCCTTGACTGATGAGATATGTGGTGACCTCAAGATGACCATTCTGAGCAGCAAGATGTAATGCAGTCCTACCTTCATTATCTCCCTCATTCACCTCCGCTCCTTGGATGATGAGATATTTGGTGACATCAAGATTACCCTTATGAGCAGCAAGGTGTAATGCAGTCGTACCGAAATAGTTTTTTTTTTTTACCAGAGCTCCTTGACTGATGAGATATTTGGTGACATCAATATGACCATTCCAAACAGCGGTGTATAATGCACAGAAGCCGTTCTCGTCTTCCCTGCCCATATTAGCTCCATGGCAGAGTACACATTTCGTTGCTTTAAGAAGTCCGAGTGATGTAGCAAGATGTAAGGGTGTATGTCCATCTGCAGTCGCCGTCTCCACATCAGCACCATGGGTAATGAGATACTCAACGACATTCTCCTGGCCATACTGGACCGCTATGTGTAAGGGTGTGTTTCCTTCTTGGTCTGTCTGGTTTATGTTAGAACCCTGTTTTAGCAGTTTATGTACGCTTTTTATTTTACCACTCATTGCTGCCTCATGAAGCTGTTTATTTATGTCCTCCATACTTGAAGAAGCACCGGCTTATCAGACATCCTAATCTAGCACAGTTTTGTTTTAATCGACTACTTCTCTTATTACGCTCGACTTTGAAATGTTACTATTACGAATTGAAATCTTTCGTAACAGATAGTCCGATTGCGTTTTGCATGTTGCAAGCATAAGTATACACTCCACTGATTTTGTTCTTCTTCTACAAATTCATAATTACTATGGGCAAACGTCAGTTTTGTAGTTTCCATAAGTTCCAAAGTCCTGTGCAGTGTACTAAATCGTGATGTAAATATGCAACGTAATTCAAAAGTCAGTCTTTCCTATTCCATTGTTAGGCTTATCTCCTTCTCTTTTTCTTCTTTTTCATCAACAATTGGTAGCAATCATCAACATTTCATTAACGACGACGACGACGATGATGTGTCCATTGTTTTAATGTTTAAGGTGATCACGGTAATGGAGGTGTAGATGATGATGGCAAATTATTTCCATTCAACAGTATTCATTTGTTGCATTGCAGTCCATGGAAAATGCATGTCTTAAAGCAAAATACATGTTTACGAAGTCTTCTTTATGGAAGTGCCGGTTGAAAAGAAGTCAACGTGGCATAATGCCCTTGGGTACGAAATAAATTCTCCGTCACAGCCTAGGTTGCCCGGAAGGCTTTCATGAGAACGGTAACCTGCATCGTAGGATTGATGTACACATGAATGTGTCAATATGTATTAATATTAACCGTGATGCATTGTTAAACATCGAATGAAGGAAGAAAGGAAAGATGCATAATTGTATGAAAACATATATCAAAGAATGGATACCCCTCTCTCCCCCCCCCCCCCCCCACCTTGGATGAAATTTATTCCAAGCAACAGCAAAATTCATAAGCACATTTATTGTGCTCACACATGGATCATGAAATAGCCTGACCCGTAACGAAAATGCCATTTAAGGTGCCCTCGTTTATTTTCTTCGACGTTAGGGACACACGATAACAGATTACGATGGAAGAAATATAATCCTTAGTTGACTGAACATGTGTATTCTATCATAATAATTAGATAGTCCTCAATTTTTTTCAGCTCACATATTTCAAGAATTCCAGCCGGGCCTGTCGTTAAAAGAAGCCGCGAACACAACAGAGGACTAACGAAGATGGCTGAGATCATGTGATCACGTACGAGCGCTGGCCACATTTTTCGAACCACTTTGAGCCTTCTACGTATATTTACAGTTCTGTGTTCACGGCCACTGGCTTCATCGGGCAAGTAGTTCCATTATGTGAATAAGTAAATATCGACAAATATCAATCAAAACAAGTTTAATACCAGAAGAAAGCTATCGATTAGATTATTAACTAGCCGTGCACCCCAAAGCTGCCTGAACACAATGGAACGAGTGAGAGCTTGCGAGAGCGACCGAACTGTGATTGAAAAACACTATTTTGCTCCTCTCCAATGCAAAAAGAGACGACATTGTGCTTGATTGTTATGTTTTTCCCGACAAAAGTACAGATAAATTGCATGTTATTTGTTACATTATACTTTTTGAAAGGTCCCGAAGTGACTCTCGGGCACCCCAATGCTGGAAGAAAAAAAAACTTTTTAGAAAATTTTAATTTTTCATGCAAAAATGCTTATTTGTTCTATATGCTTAAAGATAAAGTGGAGTTCTGGTCATGCGATTGCATTGTGAAAGAAAAGGTGTGGAAGGGATCAGAAAAAGTTGATCATGTAGCATGTAAGTATTGGTGTGTACTTCAAGGTTCTGGAGTCATCAACATAATAATAAATTTGCCCCAGTCTTGGTAAAGTAACAAGCACTGTACACAGAAAGATGTATATGGGACTAAACACATATGGTGTCGGGGCTACTAACCTTGATTTCCTTATCTGTTTATGCTCATTACTCAGCCAGTATACATTTTCTACCAAAATTGTTTGGCAAATGACAATTATATGTACTCTTGAACATTCAGTGTAAGTTTCGTTTGATTCTGTGAGAATTCATTTTCTTTCTTTTTTTTTTACCAGAACTCAAGTTTATCTTTAAAGGTAAAGACCAGTTTTAGAAATGCTTCCATTTCAAACAAAAACATGGAAGCTATTATTACCAATCATGTGAAATAATATGTTTTGACTAATACGTGATGATACAAATTTTGCTGGGATACCGCCTACTAATATATTTGGTAACTTATTATATCCATCTGGACTGGATAGATATAGGGAAGTCCCATTTACATCTTTCTGTGTACAGTGCTTGTAACTTTACAAAGACTGGGCCAAATTTCTTATCAATTTGATGATGCAAGAACCTTGCAGGACACACCAATAATTATATGCTAGATGATCAACCTTTTCTGATCGATTCCACAACTTTCTTTCACAATGCAATCGCATGACCATAACTGGTCTATACCTTTAAGCGGATGATACAACATTTCCATATGAAGCTAATGTGGTTAGATTAGCAAGTGTGCGCTTGTAGAAATGATGCCTGGCTGGAATGCTCCCCAGGGAGTGGAGAATATGAGAGGGCATGCGGTCCTGAAAAGCCCTATATGAGAATGAGCTATTATTATTATAATCACATCATGAAAGGAAAATATGTGCGTTGTTTGTAAAAAAAAAAAAAAAAAAGGTGCTAAACACCTTTCAGGTCTATTGTAGATCAGTTGAGTTCTGTGCATGAGTGGATGTTAGGCCCATGCACAATTTCGTAATGATAACCATACAGTGCCATTAAAGCACTTTTATGCAGACCATTGCACATAAATTCCGTACCTTATTCTGCCTATAGTATTATTCGAGTTTTTTGTTTTGGGCATCGCTTCAAATAATGAAGTGGGTGCATTTGAGCTCTACTTAAACCACACCAGGCGCGTAGCCAGGGTTTGGGGGCGGTGGGGGCGGTCGCCCCCCCAAAGCTCTACTTAAACCACACCAGGCGCGTAGCCAGGGTTTGGGGGCGGTGGGGGCGGTCGCCCCCCCCCCCCAAAAAAAAAAAAAACGCCGGCCAAAACAAAAAAGAGAGAGAAAGAGAAGAAGAAAAGTAAGAGGAAGTAGGAAGAAAAAGGGAAAAGGAGTCGAGAACGGTACAACGAATCGTCTTCTTTCTCTAATAATACGTCAAAGCTTCCGCGCTTCGCGAAGGAGGAGGGGGGAGGGGACTGAATTCAGACAAGGATTAAGAGTCGAGAAAGGTACAACGAATCGTCTTCTTTCTCTAACAATTTAATGAAACGTCAAAGCTTCGCGCGAGAAGGGGTGGGGGAATTCAGACAAGGATTAAGGGTCGAGAACGGTACTTTGAGTCGTCTTCTTTCTCTAATAATTTAATGAAACTTAACAGTTTCCGCGCTTTGCGAGGGAGGGGAGGAAACTGAATTCAGACAAGGGTTATGAGTCGAGAAAGGTACAACGAATCGTCTTCTTTCAAAGCTTTCAGAACTCCCCCCCCCCTCCCTGCACCCACCCCCCTAGGGAGCTGATTCGCACGCTTCGCGTGCTCACTACCGCCCCCCTAAAATTAAATCCTGGCTACGCGCTTGAACCACAACCTCTCTGTTATTCAGTTTGTGACAAAATAGAATTCACGAAGTGAAAGAGACTCCCTGGCTTATCTCTTTACAACTAGCCAAAAAAACTTTTGAACTCTATAATTTCGAGAAAAAAAAGTTGAATAAAATGTAGAGAGGGATGAATACAAAACAGGAGCGTTAAACATTTTATATACTCAACCAATGGCATAGATACCATTATAAATGAAAACATTTGGGGGATGAAAAGCAGTACTTGTCAGAGAGATTTTACAATGGCTTGCTATGGTACGGTAAAGATAACATTTCTAGCTCTGTAACCGACGAGAATCCGTTGAACAGTTTGGAAAATGGAACAGGTTATAGAGCCAGTATGATTATGAATATACGACAACGTTTGACAGTGACCGAGGTATAGGTGATCAGATTATAGCTTTGTGTTTTAAATCAATTTTCAACCACGATGAAAGGCTGCCCATATGCGTTTACCAAATTTCTCTTATGCAAATACCAATGATAGCAGTTTAAAACCTTCTGGTCTTGATTATTTCCCGCTTACACGATGTATGTTGCATCTCAGTAAAGGGTTACTGTACTTTAGTGTCTATGATTCCATCAAGAAAGGAAAAAATGTACATTGTTTGGAAAGGGACAAAACACTTTACAGGTCTATTGCAGATCAATGGAGTTTGTATATGATTGGATTTTTGTTCATGCACAATTTGGTCATGTTAACCCATGATTTGCAATAAAAACACTATTGTACAGACCATTGCACATAAATCCCCCACATTATTCTGCCTGGTAT